AGGGCGGAGTGTTTCTTTTGTAAGTTCTAATCGTAGATAAGTTTTTTAGTGAACGATATCGAGTAATCGTGTTCTTTGCAACATGATAAACACATAAAAATAGTTAGAGCAAGAACTTTTCGTCACAGTATTAATTTTCCTTTTGTCGTTGTGTAAGTTCTATCAGGAATCGTGATAACTGAAGTGGAAACAATTTACAGAGAAACCGTGCAGTTAAAGCGAAACATCGGACAAACAAGTCAATCATCATTAGGTAGTGTCCAAACACCGTGATGGAGTTATTCTTAGATAGTATATGTCTCGAACAAAAAGTTGTAAACGAAACTCCTTGACATGGACAAAGTTTAAGACAGGCCGTCGCGGTGCAAACATTGTTCAATATTTATGAAGCTTTAATATTCGATGTGGCAAATATGCTCGAACCAAGAGACAAGTAGGACACTATTTAGACTACCGTAATCCAACGGATTGCATGATTATTCCATTTATTTATTAGCGGAATCCCGAAGTCTAATTGGCAGCGGTGACTCCACAATCTGCACCAGCCTCCGAGTTAGTTTGCTTAATTATTATAGAGCTTTAAAAGTTTCAGACGTTAGAAAGAAACTTTTTTTTTTATGTTCGATTTCATTCTATCGTCAATAATATATTTCAAAAGTATCTTGTTAATTATTAGCTGCAGCTACTATGTTTGATATTTTCACAGTCCAGGCTCAGAATTCAGAGAGAAAATGAAACATTCCTTTTGTTATAAAAGGTTTATTTTGCCGACGCAATTATTCTGATAAACCGGCTGGTGCAAGAAATAATGTGCTTTTACTTTTTCCGCCGAAGCACCGAGTTTAATATAGCTGTATTTGTCACGACAAGTACTCAAAAGTATAAAATGTATGTTTATCACATATTAGCATATTATGACTGGAAAAACCACTGGCCCATTAAAGAGTGCTGTATCCACGAACTATAAGGGCGGTATTTATGTACAATAGATGGAGGTGCCATTAAGGGTTCTTAGACCTTCGAGCTTTCACATCGTTTATCATGTAAATAGAAAGTGAATAATTTATGGGCGACATCCCTCTAGCGAAGACACCCACTGCTAAGGAAATCGCTGTCGGTACAATAATTGCAATCAGGTGGTATGCGATACGTAAGACAGCGGTTTCGGTTACATTATTTTAGCCGAATTGTGCTCGCGTGTCCTATGTGGTCCATAAGAGAGGCAGGACATAGTGGATTTTTCACCCTAATTGGAGCGTCCGTTAGGGAAAATAACCTACACCTTACATAAGACCGCAATCATCATCATCAGCCTATTAATGTCCCCACTGCTGGGGCACAGGCCTTCCCTATAGATGAAATAGGGAGATTGGGCCATGACACACCACGCGGGCCCAGTGCGGATTGGTGGGTGCTAACGACTGCAGATGCAGCCGGGACAAACGGCTTCCGAAGCACAGAGGAGCTCGAGATAGTAATTTTTGGTCACCCATCCAATGATCGACCACTGCGAACTGTTGCTGAACCTCAATGATCGCAGCCGAACGCGCTAACCACTTGCGCCATCGAGCTCCTCTAAATAGACCACAATAAAAATAAAACCTTCTGGTGATGTTTTTCTGTCGGGGAGGTTACAGAGCTCCACGGAGTAGAGGATTGGGTCAGGTTAGACAATGGCACGAGTCATATTTTTGGTTTCGCAAGCGTCTTTAGGCTATGGTGACTATATACTATCAGCGATTAGCCATTTAATATAAAAAATACTAAAATATCCTCTTACCTTATATTAACGCCAATTAATGGATTTAAAGCATCTGTAAAGGCCCCAGTCATGTTTAAGACAAGGTTTTTGATTTTTATATCAGTTAGACTATAAAGGATAAGATATACCAAATAGATATGACAAAAATACAAGTGTAAATTTCGTCTTTCCCTTCTTCTATGCCTAAATATATCTACTAATGCCATATTAGTATTTGTTAACTTTATTTTGTAACTATTATTATGAATTCGAAGGCCCCTGTCTATTCATCCGTTGCTTACACGCCTAAATGACTATTTACCGATTTATAAGTTATGATTTTTCGTGAGAATGTAAACCTTGAAACCTTTGTTGGAAAAGGAAAATTCCTAATTTAAGTATTGTTTTTGGTAAAATATGTTAGTTACAGCCATGGTCAATAAAAATATCTTTACATATTATAGTGTGAAGTCATGCATGGACAAACAAAATAAACTTGGGATCACAGATTGTATGAATTTTCTATTAATCCACGCAGTCGAAGTGGCGGGCACCTGCTAGCTAAGTAGACAGTTCGCATTTTCAAAGAATATAATTCGTTTCTATTGCCGCTTTAATGAACAAAATAACAAATAAAATAAAAAAATAATCTGGTAGAAAAAAGATCCACTCGGTACAGTACCCCAAACTCGAACTTTGACAGATTCTTATACCTATCGTCGAGTCAAAGTTTAAACAAATGGAAACAAAGCAGCGCCATTATCGCACGTAATGGCGCGATTACATTTGGTCGTTAGCTCGAATACGGTACGTTATGCAATTCGGATTCGGCCAATGGACTTATTCGTGCTTGGGGTACAGGCATCAGTCAGGATTCGAACTTGGACCTGTTATAAAGTTTATTTTTACAGTAAGTAAGTATTATTACAACCATACTGTAATATCTATAGCTATAATTTCGTAAGGTTTGCTTATTAAAAAGCACAATATCTAATGCAGCATGTTGAATGAAAAATACCCAAAGTTTATTCTCATTTTCGATGAAACAAAAATAAGAGGACATAGCAACCTTTTGTAAAATCCTCGCAACGGCCAGTTGCTTCTTGTATGTTTTTTGTACGGGCAAAGACTAGAGGCCCGTTGCATTTTCAGCTTTTACAAGTAATTATAGTATTCATTTAAGTAACTAGGAATAGTTTTTTACAAAAAGAATGTTTTGCAGTATTCGTTTGAAATTGAACCAACAGTAAGCTTTAATAAGGTTTGATTTTTTTTAATAACAATTAAAATTGTAATGCGACATCCTAAAGATGGACGAAGAAAATTGTGACGATGTAATAAAAGTTTAACTTTAAAAAACTAAGGACCATTTTTTTTCTAAAATTTGTTTCTTCATAAGAAAGAAAATCTTTGTCAAATATCCTTATTACAACAAAAAAGTAAGAAATGCGTTCAACACGAGGAATAGGTTAAGAAAAAAATGTCATAAGTACAAAATTTTCCGATACAAGGTTTGAAACCATGCCTAACTTTTTTGAAGTAAAACCGTAAATGTTTAAGGTATGTTATTTCATGTTTAATCTGATTTCACACGTATTGCTTAAGAAAAACATTCTTCAAATGCATCCTGTTAATTTATTGCGTTCATACTCCAAACAGAACGGGGAATTCGAGAATTTTCCCGTACATTGTGAGTCTTGCCAATTGTTAAAAGCTTGGTTGATAATTTTCAATCAAAAAGGTTAGTAAAGATAGGTAGGTAGGTACTAAAATAAACAGAAAACTTTAATATAAACTCATAAGCATTAATCTTTAGCAAACATGTTGAAAAAGAACATGCTCCAGAAAAAATAGCTTTTACACGACTGAAAAATAAAATAGTTTTTTTGCATCTCTAGGCGGGATAGGCAACGAAAGAGTTACCCTTTACTCTTTATCCATAACATCTCAGTGTCTATACACTATTAGTGGCTGTTTTCAATCAGGTGGACCATATCGATTGCATAAATAAGTTTTGAATAAACGAACACAGAATGTTTCCATTAAAGATTTTACTAACTGTGAGACTGTATTTCAGCAGCCCTGTTGGAATGGCGTTTCTCTTAAAATGTATAGTTATTTATGATGATTAAGGGTGTATGGACGATGTTGGTAAAAGCTACCTTCTACGTCACGCACTATTCTTTGTCCCGGTTGCGGACATTTTATACGAGCTGTATTGTAATGTATGTACGTTCAGTTTGCTGTTGGTCTGCACGCGGCTTGCAAGTCGTTTCGTGTCGCTCATCTAATTTGTATTTACGACTAGGTTTTGCTCGTGAATTTGCTCGCTCGGACTGAAAACATACTGTAAACATCTGTTACAGATATATTTTTTTCACTGTACTTAAAACATCTGTAACAGCAACAAAATGTTATGGGTTAAAACAATTTTAAATCAGACTTTAACGCCTTTAATATTCATGCGGCAAATTCTCAATGAGTGTCATGAAGTTAAAAGAGTAGTTCTGAAAATTGGACAAATAAAAAACATACCTCCTAACTTTAATTTGATGATTATTCTGTCTTTACTATTAGTTAGCGACAGTATTAAATTAGGAGAGTAGTTAAGTTTTTCACGTGAATATAGTTTACGCCTGCCGCCACACTTATGAATTTCTTATACAGCTTGTACTAGGTATAGTACCTACTAAGTTTCCTTCACTTTCAGAGCGCTTAATAAATTTCAAGCTGAACATGTCGTAAACTGTTTAAACTTTACCGCAACTTAATAAAGTTTAATTTGTTAATTCAACATTTTGTATTTACTTCTGACATACAGGTTTTGTTTTTAATTACAAGAGCCATTAATAAACGTTTGTACCTAGCTTCTATACATATTTATTTAATTTTTTTTTACTTTAGATGGACACAAATCAAGTAATGAACTGAGATAAATACAGTAGTTGGTTACTTCTTTGTAAAACTATTTGTAAGTTTTAGCTATCAATACAGATAAATCTTATCATTTAGTTTCCAAGACTGTGATAACGTCATTCTGTTATTTGTATTTGTAAACCAACATAGCAACAAAAAGTTATTAATGCCACAACAACTCACGAGTCGTACGTAAGTTACGACTGAACTCAACTTTTGACTCTTTTCCTATAACACTAGAGTTGAATATTAATTGATAAGATATAGGAGTAGCTCACCTACGCACACAGTTGAATGATAAACAACTCGTGAACGAACGGAGTGAATTTAGCTCCGGAGTGCTATTTTAGCTGCCGTCTTTGTTACTACGTTGGAAGAGGTTATGTTGTAATATGTAAATAAAACGTAATTCGTTGAAAAACGAAAGTGAAAAAATATTAAGTAGATGGGCTGGATGCATTGAAGACAATCAAAACGAAGGTGTAAATAGTGCTTACAAAGTTATAAAACAAGTGCGGAACTTTTATTTACGTCTCATTAGAACAAACTAGTGTAAATTGTTTTCACAGTCATGTCGTTAACAAAAAAATGTATCTCAGCTCTGTGCAAAAGTTATAATGTCCGTGCACTGTCAACCACTGGTATAAAAAATGCTAAACTTACATTCAACTGGGAGGACCCGTTGATATTAGATGGGCAGTTACATGACGACGAAAAGGCGATCCGGGACTCGTTCAAAGCTTATTGTAACGAGAAACTATTGCCCAGAGTAATCGAAGCCAACAGAAATGAAGTCTTCGACCGTAGTATTTACAAAGAAATGGGGGAATTGGGAGTCCTCGGGTGTACTATTAAAGGATATGGATGTGCTGGTGTGTCTAACGTCACTTATGGTTTGATCACAAGAGAATTAGACGGCGTGGATTCAGCTTATCGGTCGGCAATGAGCGTTCAGAGCAGTTTGGCGATGGGAGCAATATACATGTACGGCAGTGAAGAGCAGAAACAAAAGTTTTTGCCAGTTATGGCTAAAGGTGAACTAGTCGGCTGTTTCGGTTTGACGGAACCTAACTTCGGTAGCGACGCTGGTGGTTTGGTAACCAGAGCCAAATATGATTCGAAAAATAAATCTTACATTCTATCAGGATCCAAAACATGGATTACAAATTCTCCTATAGCAGATGTACTTGTAGTGTGGGCTAAAGGCGAGGACGATAAAGTGAGGGGTTTTATTATAGAACGTTCGCAAGTAAAGAAAGGTTTGGACACGCCTAAAATCAATGGGAAATTCTCTTTGCGAGCGTCGGCTACTGGGATGATATTGCTCGACGAAGTGGCTATACCAGAGGAAAATTTATTGCCAAACGTTGTAGGTCTGAAGGGGCCATTCGGATGTCTCAATAACGCGCGGTATGGGATCTCTTGGGGCGTTCTCGGAGCGGCCGAATCTTGTTTGCGTATTGCCAGACAGTACACATTAGACAGAAAACAATTTGGTAGACCTTTGGCTTCAAACCAGTTGATACAAAAGAAATTAGCTGACATGCTTACTGAAATACACATCGCATATCAAGCATGTCTTAGGGTAGGCCGTTTGAAGGATGAAGGTTTAGCAGTACCTGAGATGATTTCTATGTTGAAAAGAAACAACTGTGGGAAGGCTTTGGATATTGCTAGGGTAGCAAGGGATATGCTAGGTGGGAATGGTGTATCGGACGAGTATCACGTCATCAGACATGTAATGAATTTAGAGGCCGTGAACACATACGAAGGAACCCATGATATTCATGGGCTTATTTTGGGAAGAGCTATCACAGGGATTCAGGCATTTTCGTGATTAAATATATGTAGCTATAACGAACGAACATAGTCAATATATTTTTATTTATTGTAAATAGGTATCCATATTTTTTCTGTATAAATAAAGCATATTTAAAAATTCTAGTTTTTTTATATATAAATAATGCTAAAGAAGTCATATTACATATAATTACTCGTTATATTTACTACAGTGAGGGATTACGCAAACTTATGTGTATTTTGTCTATTCTATTAATATTATTAAAAAATATCATATAAACAGGGCTTTATTTTCGAAATTGGGTTATGAGCGGAAAAAAATACATTTTGGAGGCGCCGGGTATCGATCCCGGTACCTCTCGCATGCTAAGCGAGCGCTCTACCATCTGAGCTACGCCCCCGATATTATTTTCCACCAGAATAAGCAAATGCTTATATTATTAAAAAGTGAAAGGTGGGTAAGCCTTCAGTGTAAGGACACAAAACCGATAGTACAGAAGGTAATCTCATGTATGTACTTCACTTTAATACCTACACTAGGTGGTCACGCTCTAGGATTGTTAACTTTGACTTGTGCACAAAAAATCGTGGTAGTGGCACTCGTGCATTGTTTGTTAGATTTATTGTTAAGAATGAAACAGGAAGAATGGAAATATAAACCAATAATATATTAGGTATTTCAATTTTAAAGTTATTTTTATATAATGCACAAATAATGAAAAAAAACGACAAGACACTGTTTAATGTTGAATTTAAATAACCAGCCACTAAAACAGTTATAATAACTTTTTGTGGTGCTCCATTTTTACACAAAAACGTTCACAGATGCGTGTCTCCGTAAGCGGTGTCTATGTGTGCGTTGCTCGAGCGCACTTTGTATGTAGACAACTCTGTACTATCTATTTTGTAGTAAGGATTTTTACAACTGACAATGGCACGTTTTTCCACAAAAAAAAGTCCCATCTTTATTTTGCGATAAAAAAGTAGGGTGGGGAAGAGGTAAAAATTGGTTTGATGTTGGTATAATAAAATTTAGAAATCTATTAGTAAAGGACCTACAGAAGTAAAAACCAAACATGAATTTTTAGGTAAATAATGCAGCGCCTGTGTAGATTACTATCACTTAGGTATTCTTTAGTAAAGTTGAATCAAACAACTCAAGGTTTGGTATGTTTTTCATAAACTAATTTGATGCAACTATATAAAAGGGATACAAAAAAATGCAATATTCGTTTATATTACCTAAACTTCATTAGTAATTTCTTATAAATTTTAAAGATTACAATATTTAAGAAGTGGTAATCCAATGTGTAAGTACCCTAGTAAAACAAATTTTGCATACGACTTAAAATATATGAATGAAAAAAGAGAAAATAACTGTAAAATAATGTAACCAAAACTTATCAGCACAGTGGCGTGAAAACGAGCCGTTTTGTCACACAGTACAGTGCCTAAAGTATCAACTATAAGCGTGTTATCGCCCTTATTGTTTATTGCATTACATATAATAAGAACGCTTTGCCTACTGCATGGGAATCATCCCTAATATCGTTAGGAAGCGGGACGCAAGAAATACGAATGCAATTTTATTACATCACATTACAGTACAGATTGTCGCGCGCCTAGCTTATGTTTAAGAGCAAGCGTTGAATTATATACTGAAACGAATATTGCTCGATAAAATACCAACTGTAGTGCATTTATTTGTTTTTCAGTTCCTCAATTCTACGAATATTATAAATGTGAAAGTTTGTATGTTTATGTGTTTGTATGTTTATTACTCATTCACGCAAAAACGGCTGCATGGATTTGGGTAAACTTTGCACACTTATTGTGTATTAGGTACGTACCTGGATTGAGATAAGGGTTGCCACCTTTTTTCAAATCAATACATTGTGTCAAAATAAGACTGATTAATTCATGTTTGGAGTTTCTTCATGATTGATTTTATTAACCTAATTCTTCAAATCTTAGTAAGTTAGTACACATGTTAAATAAGGATTAGGTGTTATTAACAGGTTAGTACCGATTTATTTCATATGTTCGAAGAATGTATGGTTTGTTTTGTATTTTTACGTGAAATTCTTATTCGCCTGGAAATTATTCCCTCTGTTTTCATTTAAGAGACATCCCACAGGAGCCGAACTGAGGTCAGGTACTGATGTGCCAGATCATAGTTTAATAATAATCTTAGATTGCACTTAATAGTAAATGTAAGTATCTAGACACTCCGTTTTAATAAGTGCTAGTGGCCTGCCCTCGCTTCGCTTCGGTGTAGAGCTGTAGTTAGGGTTACCAACTTTTTTCTATCAAATATAGTATTTTCGAAGCGTTACTTTAAAAATATAGTAACTGGCAAAAAAATGGGAAAAATATAGTATGTGGTTAAAATATTTACTTTTATTTTTTAAATAAACATATTTTTGCCTTACTAAAAATAATATAATATTTTCTAATAATATAATATTTTTATAAGAAAACTTTTATTGTCAAAAATATGCTTTAAGCAAAATATAGTAGTTTCGCCTACTACATTTTTTTTAGAAATATAGTATTTCATCCAATATTATAATTGTCAACTAAATTACTTTTTTAGTAAATAATATTAATCAATATGTTCAAATTACAGTAAACTGTGTTGTATTATATTACATTTAAAGAGTGGAGGGCTGATAACCTGAGACACGGGTTTTTTCCTAGTTTAGGTGTCAGCCCACCATAATTAGATAAGTGACCTTTTTACTTAGTGTTTTTAATGGAATACGAAACTGATTATGGTGAGAAATAAAGAATTATTAATATCCCCTAAAATATAGTAGGATACTATATTATATTGTAGGGTTGGCAACCCTAGCTGTAGTGTAGACTATAGTTTTTGTTCTGAGGCTTACTATTACTATTGCATATTTTAATACTAAGAAGTACAAATATATATACTTACTAATATCATGAAGCTGGTAAGTTTGTATGTTTGATTGTTTGTTTTTTTTGGTTGTACGCGCTAATCTCAGGAAATACTGGTCCACTTTGAAATAGTTTTTTGTGTTTAAAATTTTATTATAGAGGAAGGCTATGGGCTGTTTAACATTACGCTACGACCAGTAGGAGCGGAGAATTGATGAAAAATGTTGCGAAAAAGGGTAAAAATATTCCATTTTCGAGCTTCCGTTGCAGGCGCTAGGTAAACGGTTAAAGTTACACAAAAACATGTATGACGGAATTGTTCTCCTTAAAAGTTTTATAAAAAAATCGCAACAGAATTATGTCTTACCTACCTTTAAAGTTTGACTTACTATAACCTTTTTCATCAAATTGACGCGGGCGAAACCGCAGGGGACATCTAGTCGTGACATAACTGTAATAGTTAGACACATCACATAGTATAAAGTCCATGAGGACTTTTTTGTAGATATTGTATAAAACTAGTACATCACTTTGCTCCATTATCAATGACTTTCTCTATATATTCTCCTTACTTGCTCCTTCTTTTATGTAAGACTATGCGCCTTTCACGGTAGCAGCACAAGGCCGCCTTCAGGGTCCCATGTTTTTGCCAAACAAATGGAAAAGTATTCAAACATGTAAATAATAATGGTAAACTAAAGCAAAACCGCATAAAAAAAGCTTTTTGTACGGTTCTGCTTTAAGTTTTATCATGGTACACCAACTTACCGCATAACGTACGTGGACAGACCCATTTTAGGTATGACAAATCCGTTAGATAACGAAAACAGATTGCTACTAGCGAAAAAACAAATTGGACACATTAGGTGCCTCACTCCATTGAACGCGTAAAAACGCAAACCGCACTCCATAATGCAAAGAATTTCACTCTGTATTTTTAAGCACCTGGGGGCCCACAAGCTGTGGGATTTCAAGGGAACCACTTTCACCATAGCTTTATGGCATTATCTAAATAAATATTTTAAACGATGAGCTGTGAGATTGAGGTTTTCGCGTCGTGTGGTTTGCGGTTGGACACTTTTGTCTCATTAAACGAAATTTTCTTTGTTTCGTGTACAGGTTTACATTTTGCAGATTTGTGTTACGGTATTTATCTTTATAACTGTCGGGCTCCTATTTGCATATTCGCGGCGAACACGAGAAGTGTAAATTATTTTTATGTGGGACCGTTAATCTCATCTTGTTGTCTAGGTACCTGTGTAAAATAAGCTGGCTCATAAGCGAATCTCTTATTTTAGAGAAAATAACTGTATACATCAAAGTTGTGTTCGTACAAAGGATACCTTTAAAATGCAACAATATATTAATGAAAGTCGGGTAAACTATATGAATTCCAACGAAATACAGTTGGATCGTATTGGATCTGCCGAACCTTCTAGGAACAGACGTACCTTTACTTTTTTACCAGTGGGTATATAAGAGTTGAAATAAAAATTATTTGCCATATATGTATTTCTAAATAAAAAATATACTTATGTATGTATCTGTATAACATCAGTATTCCTATTCTATCCGTTACCCTAGTGTCCCGAAATACAAACCTTACAGTGCTTACTTTGGGGCTAAGCTAATTGGTGTGTGATTTAGAAATATTAATCTTTTATTATTTATTTATATATTGATTATAGTTCGCATCGCAGTATTATAAAAGTGTCTCGAAGCGACGAGACACTGTTACAATAATGAGAACAATACTAAGCGGCTATTGACACAATCAACAATGAACATACTATGTTTAACAAAAGCGGAGCGAAGTGTCACACCGATACAGTGGAATATCAATAAAATATTGCACGTTCATTGAAATATTTACGTTCTCATTAGCCTGTGGCGGGATCGACTGTGGCATTGAATACAGTTGAAATTAACGAACGAATACAGTAGGTACGTACGCGAGCGCGTTGCATCCCACTAATTAACTTTGCTACATAGCACGTATACAGCGTGAGTTTTAATCATGAATCTTGCATGGAGACCGTTACAATACAATGGGAAACGACATAATTCACATTAGCAATATAACAGATAATATTGATAGGAATAGAGATCCTTCCAATATTATAAATGTGAAAGTTTTTATGTTTGTTACTCAATCATGCAAAAACCACTGAATGGAATTAGATATGATTTGGTAGTTTATGAACGCATTTCGATGAAATTTGG